CCCCAAAACCCCAAAACCCCAAAACCCCAGAAGAGTAAGATGAAGATATTTTCTAGAATATTGGCATTATATTAAATATTAAAATGCAGTGAGTGATTGGGGAAGATTAAGGTTGAAATGTTAATGAACAAAAGAAGAAAGGAGTTAATCATAAGTCTTCGATTTGGTTGTCACCGCCCTCTTCTTCCTTCCAGAGGGTCAGGTTTTCTTTGAGGAGTTCGATAATACTCTTGGCATCTCTGAAGGTCTCTTCATCAACATCATCGATCTTGTTCATGGCCTCTTGAAGAGCGGTTTCTGCCAGAGTGCAAGCTTGCTTGTTGTCCTACATAACCTCATAGTAGAATACAGAGAAGTTTAGTGCAAGTCCGAGCTTGATTGGGTTGCAAGCTTGGAGTTCTCTACCAGCAGCCTCAGCCTCTTTGTAGTGTTAGAGGGCACCGTCTCTTGCTTGAGCGAGTTTATCTCCAGTGGCGCTCTCGGCCATATATCTGAAGTAGTCACCTACCATCTTAAGGAAGAAAGCTCTGCCTTCAGCCTCTTGTTGGGTCTTCATAGCGTCATTCTTAATCATGTTGATGATATTTTGGCAATCTTGTTGGAGTTCACCTTCGATCTTTTTCTTGTACTCGCCAAGAGCAGCTCCGAATTTCTAGTACTTGGGGTTCTATTCAATAGCGGAGATTGTTCTGATGGCGGTTCTCTTGCCTCCTATCAAATTCTTGAAGCCTACTGAAAGAAGATTTCTCTCTTCGACGGAGAAGTCACCTCCCTTCTCTCTAAGAATGGGCTTGAGGAATTCAACCATGTCGTCAAATCTTTCTGCTTGCTCAGCTACTCTAGCCATAAAGATCTTCTCTTCCATTGGTATCCTTTCAAATTTTAAATTATAAAGATTCAAATCGCTCAATATTTAATCATTAAACTTAAACTTCCAAAAATATTTCATACATCGTGCTTTATCATTGATTGATATTTCATCTAATCTGTTCAATAACACATGATGGGGTTTTGGGGTTTTGGGGAGATCGGAAGAGCGTCG